TTCTTAGTTTGTTTCGTGTTTCTTCGTTCCTGTAAAGACCGGTTTCTGTGCTGTTTCTATGCTATTGTTGTCGTGTTTCTGTGCTGTCATGTTGTTTCTGTCATGCTTTTTCTGTGCTTGCTGCCTGCCTGTTTCTGTGTTTGCTGCCTGCCTGCTTTCATGGTTGATCTGATGCTGCCGTTTGCCTGTTGTGCTGCCTGCTGTGATGTTGTGAGTTGTGCTGTGAGCGTGTTGTGTTGCTGCTGTTTCTGTGTTGTGAGATGTGTCTACTGTTTCTATGGAGCTGTGAGCTATGCTGCCGGCTGTGATGTTGTGAGTTGTGCTGTTTCTATGTTGTGTTGCTGCTGTTTTTGTGCTGTGAGCTGTGTCTAATGTTTCTGTGGAGCTATGAAGTGTGTTGCCTGCTGTGATGCTGTGATTTGTGCTGTTTCTGTGCTGTGTTGCTGCTGTTTTTGTGTCTGTGAGCTGTGTCTGTCCTGTGAGCTGTGAGCCGTGTCTGTGCTGTGAGCCGTGTCTGTGCTGTGAGTTGTGTCTGCCTGCTGCCTGCTGTGAGCTGTGTCTGTGCTGTGAGCTCACTGCTCCTATTTCTGTGCTGTGAGTTCACTCCTGCTGTTTATATGTTGCCTGTGAACTGTGTTGCCTGCTGTGAGCTTGTGTCTGTGATGTTTCTGTGCTGTGAGCTCACTGCTCCTGTGTCTGTGCTGTGAGCTGGTCCCTGCTGTTTATATGTTGCCTGTGAACTGTGCTGCCTGCCTGTGAGCTGCGCAGCAGCTGTGCAGGAAGCAAGCAACAGCAGTGCCGGCAGTGCAGCTGTTGTTCTGTTGCTGCGCTGTTCCGCTGTTGTTGTTGTTCTGTTTTTCATTAGTTGTTTTGCTCTTCCCTTTTTTTTTACTTGTTTCTTACAAGTGATATTCCAAATTGGTGCAGGAAGAGACCCGTTGTGAAATTCTTCACCCGGGCGAATCGCTTAGTGGAGCTTTGAATGTCGTTGCATATGGTAGTGCACAACCGGCCGAACAAGGTACGGTCCATTTGCGACCGCTTCGACCTGAGCATTATTCGGTCGGGATCCATTCTGTGGTTGTCGGGTTCAAGGACATCCTAATACCTGTTCCCGTAGAGGAGGATGAGTTTACTACACTTTGGGCGGCAAAAGGTAGTTTTGTGCAATGGCCATGTGCTTGGATACGGTTGGTGAACCAGGTAATTAAGATTTAAAGTTCACGCTTTACTCTATACCCGATTTTCATCCCAAGAGTTGGATGAAATTCTTTTCTAACCATTTGTGTGATTTGTCTTATTAGTCATCGAGGAAAAGCCAAACTCCGGAGAAGAGGGTGGAGGGGGCAAAAAGCATTGATCAACCGATGCCAAAGAAGAGGAGTGAACATGGCTCGGTGAGTGGAAAAGCGTCGAACAAGAGCTCTTCACGAGGTTCAGCTATGCAAGCTACTCCACTAGTTGAAGACAGGGTGCTTCAATCGCTCTCTAAGGAGTTAACTTATCTGCACAACCGTGTTTGCGTGTTGCCTAGTGACAGCCCCATTCAAGTTCCACTACCTAAGGAAATGTTCCACTACGATGATGATGCAATGGCATGGCTATTCAAAGAAGATGTGAAGGAATTTCTAAGTGGTGCAATGCTTAACATTTCCCTCATTAAAATATGCATCAGGTAATTCAACTAGTACTCAATTTATGTTATTCAGTTTAGTGGTGATTTTCGGTTGGTTTTCGATTAACATTCTATTATCATGCATGCAGAGCACTCCAGGAGCACTTATGGGAGCTTGGTTCTCCATGTCAAATTGGGTGGTTATGCCCTGAGCAGATCTCCACTTCTAGAATCTTAGGCAACCACGCTGACATGTTGTACTATGTTGAACGGGGTATCAAGGAATCAGTGCGTGCGGGAGACATGTTTATATTTGCCCCATATTATGAGGAGTACGTTAGATTATGCTTGTCAAATTCATTTGTTTTCCCAGTTTATATGCTGTACTTGCCTAATTATTGATTTGTTTGTCTCGTGTGAATGTATGTACGTAGTTATCATTGGACCCTACTGGTGATTTGTGTTTCCAGTAACACAATCTTCTTCTTTGATTCTGCTCGGTTACCTCAACCAAGAAAGCGCCTCGTGAAGTCCATACTACAAAAGTAAATATACATAGCTTCAATTCTTGTTATTGATTATCATAACCTAACTCATATATATTAATTATACTAATCAAATTTGAACTTACTTTTCTATGTAGTGTTATGAAGAAGATAAATTCTCGAGCTCCTCGAGGTCCTACATGGAAATCACCGATGGTAATGCCACATGATATTGTGATTTTCGTAATATACAATGCGTAAGATGTTGCTAATTTGCTATGTATGTTTGATTCATGTACTTTGTTCCTCATGCTAGTGCGCACAACAAGATAACGGAGTTGATTGTGGCCTATACGTGATGAGATTCATGTTTGACATAGTGAGTCATTGTACAGACACACAACAGCTTAAAGAGGTATGCCAGTTTGGTTGAAATTGCGTTCCAAAACACTATAATTGCTCTTTTCTTGTAATTTCAAGCCTTAGTCACCAATAACTAAGTGATAAAGACATGTTATGACTAATTATGAGTTCAATAGACAAGAAATGTAGGATATAGGCATCCTAATAGTCAAAATGGCCTTACTCGGGCCATTTTGGTTGAAAAAGCGTTCTAAAACCCCTTAATTGCTATTTTCTTGTAATTTCAAGCCTTATTCACCAATAACTAAGTGATAAAGACATGTTATGACTATTTATGAGTTCACTAGACAAGAAATGTAGGATATAGGCATCCTAGTAGTCAAAATGGCCTTACTCGGGCCATTTTGGTTGAAAAAGCGTTCTAAAACCCCTTAATTGCTATTTTCTTGTAATTTCAAGCCTTGGCCACCTATAAATAAGTGATAAAGACATGTTATGACTATTTATGAGTTCACTTGACAAGAAATGTAGGAAATAGGCATCCTAGTAGTCAAAATGGTCTTACTCGGGCCATTTTGGTTGAAATTGTGTTCCAAAACCCCTTAATTGCTATTTTCTTGTAATTTCAATCCTTAGTCACCAATAAATAAGTGATAAAGACATTTTATGACTATTTATGAGTTCACTAAACAAGAAATGTAGGATATAGGCATCCTAGTAGTCAAAATGGCCTTACTCGGGCCATTTTGGTTGAAAAAGCGTTCTAAAACCCCTTAATTGCTATTTTCTTGTAATTTCAAGCCTTATTCACCAATAACTAAGTGATAAAGACATGTTATGACTATTTATGAGTTCACTAGACAAGAAATGTAGGATATAGGCATCCTAGTAGTCAAAATGGCCTTACTCGGGCCATTTTGGTTGAAAAAGCGTTCTAAAACCCCTTAATTGCTATTTTCTTGTAATTTCAAGCCTTGGCCACCTATAAATAAGTGATAAAGACATGTTATGACTATTTATGAGTTCACTTGACAAGAAATGTAGGAAATAGGCATCCTAGTAGTCAAAATGGTCTTACTCGGGCCATTTTGGTTGAAATTGTGTTCCAAAACCCCTTAATTGCTATTTTCTTGTAATTTCAAGCCTTAGCCACCTATAAGTAAGTGATAAAGACATGTTATGACTATTTATGAGTTCACTTGACAAGAAATGTAGGAAATAGGCATCCTAGTAGTCAAAATGGCCTTACTCGGGCCATTTTGGTTGAAATTGCGTTCTAAAACCCCTTAATTGTTATTTTCTTGTAATTTCAAGCCTTAGTCACCAATAAATAAGTGATAAAGACATGTTATGACTATTTATGAGTTCACTAGACAAGAAATGTAGGAAATAGGCATCCTAGTAGTCAAAATGGCCTTACTCGGGCCATTTTGGTTGAAATTGCGTTCTAAAACCCCTTAATTGGTATTTTCTTGAAATTTCAAGCCTTAGCCACCTATAAATAAGTGATAAAGACATGTTACGACTATTTATGAGTTCACTCCTACTAACTTACGTTTTGTGTATGTATTCCAAGTTTTGCAAGGGACAAACGGGAAATCCGTTCACGAGCGAGGAACTCAATGTAATTCGAGACATGTTGGCGGCCTACATCACATTTAATTTGTAAATATCATTTATTTCTGTTTTAACTAGCTTAGTGTACTACATTATTACTAATTAATTATGTTTGTTTGTAATTATGACACATTTTTCTAATTAATATCATATTTTGGGATTGTTATCAATATTTATGTCCTTGTTATTATTTTCAATTATTATTATTATTAATATATTAATAATACTAATTATTATTAATATTATAATAATTATTATTATTATTATTATTAAAATTAATAATAATAATTATTATTATTAATTATCGTATTATGTACATGATCTCATTATTATTATATTTATTAGTATTAATATTAATATATATTATTGCCGGAAAAAAAAAAAAGGTCAAAGGCATTGGTTCATGCTTAAAACCGGTGCCTATTACATTGAATTTAATAAATAAAAAACTGGCGCCATTAAAGTTGGCACCGGTTAACCGGTGCCAAATTTTTGAGGATTTGGCATCCCTCAAATCCCTAACGGTTCAAAACCGGTGCCTTAGGGGGGTTTTGAACCGGTGTCAAATTAGGATTTTCGTCTAGTGATGACTGAAGAGTAAAACTATAGAAATTAGATATTGTGAAATATATATACCAAAATGAATTTAATAAAACCGCACATAACCATATTTTTTTTATATTAATCGCAAAAGGTGATCAAAGAAGAGTTAATAAATTGTGCAAAAAGTCAATATGTTGTGATTAAAAGAGAACTAGTAAAGTATGATCTAAAAGAATAAATGTAACAACTAATTTAAATTTGGACAAAAGCAATATATCAACTTATAACGACATTATATCAACTTATAACGACATTATTTAGCAAAATACGGAGTAGCAAGCAGGAAGGGGAAAAGCAGACCTTTTAGAACACCAAAATGGAAAAGCAACCAGGCTCATTTACATCATTGTCTTAAAAGCTACTGTAGTTAGTTATACAACTTATACTCATAGCCTTATATTCTTACATCAAAGGTTACACACTTCAGCATAATATGTATCATTTATTTTTAGTTTTAACTAATCATAGTCTTCTAACTTTAATAATGATGATTAATTTTAACACAATTACATATATGTATCATTAATTTTCTACTAGTTAAGGCTACCACAATTAACGAAAATTGTTAGCCAATGCTAACATAAAATCTCTGTAATCCCCTGCAGGAATGGCTTGACATATTGCATCTCTAAGTTCCATCCCATATTTCTTCCTGAATACCTTTTGAATATCACCCATGTCGATCTCAGCTCTGCTCACCATTAACCGTGTCAAGGATTTCTTGTTCGTTTCCTCGCCTTTCATCATGCAACTTTGCAACATCTACAAGCACCATAGCACCAATTAAACAATCATAACTTACTAATTGAAACAAAACATAACACTTGTTATTTTCATTGAAACTTAAATACCTTGGCATAGTATTTGGGAGGGTCTTGGATGCAATCCACTAAATTTCTCAATGAGTCCTCAAATTGTGTCGAATTAACCTTCTTGAGTTGCTACATTATAATGCAAAGGCCGGTTTGTTAGGTTCTCTTAAGTAATGCTTATATATGTAATGAAAAGTTGATTGTTGAAGCCAAGATCAAGAGGTTGTACCACCTTTGTGTAACTGTGGCCGAAGATGCGTTTATACGACGAAAAGGTGAGTTTAAGCTGAGGGATACTTCTTTTACTTAGAATTTCAAGAACTACAGCTTGATTAATGCATCCTGAACTTGCTTCCCCTGTTTGATAGAGCCTCATTGCATCACATTTTGCTATGTCTTGGCTCACATCAACATTGTGAGCTTTATGGGATGTTGCCAATGCTACCAAAATCTATAAACCAATCAAAAAAAACATTCCATAAAATTTTTTGGATACAATTAGTCTATTACATCATTGTACAAATTCTTACATGCAGTTCACCACTAAAACTTACAAGTATTATTTTGAATATGAAGTAACATGACTCAAATCCATATTAGTCGGAAACCAACTTAAAAGGAATATGTAGTATGATTGTCATTTTTTGCCGCCCTATAACTAAGGCCTTTTTAGGGGGCTTTCCAAGGGGTTTGGCATAATGCTAATTTTTCTTCCTAGTGGTTGATTTACAAGACCATACAAAAGATTCATTATTATTCGAAAGGATTGGTCACAATTTGTTGATGTCCTTTCGACTCCAAATTCCATCCATATCAATACTATTGTTAGCATGCCACTTCGTTGTTTTGTTTACTTCTTTTGTTGAAATTGTTCATCGCATCATTATTTGCCTATTTACTAACTATTTCTTTTTTGGGAATGGTGTTTTTACAAGGATCTTTTGAAATATTCTTTAAACTTTTAGTAACAAAGCACTTACAATGATGGGTTATATGCATATTAAGATGGTCTTATGTCAATAAGTTCTACCTAACTTAGTGAGACACGTAACAAATCACCTCTGAACAACATAAAAAATTCTCTCGAAAAATAAAAATTCACCTAAACATAGTACTCTGTGATAAATTAGCACCACACTTCAATAGTAAAAGAAATCAACAGTCAAAAGATACAACAAAGTACCCAACACTTTTTTGGTGTAAGAAAAGAAACATTAGACAATACCCATACTCTCAAGTTCGGACAATTTTGTGCAATCTCCTCTAATCCCTCTCTTCCCACAAACACGAACCATTTCACAATAGGTTGAATAAGTTGTATAGTATACTCCTCTCTTTATTTTTTTTTTATTATTACTTTTTTTTACTTCGTTTTCTTTTCTAGAATTGAAGTCCTGATCTAATGTTCCATTGTATTTGTTAAAAAAAAAAAATACTTTTGGGATCTTGTCAAATTCGTTTAAATATTTACTCCGTATTTTTAAATACACAATGTAACTTTTATAGTTTTTATGAATACACGATTAGAAATAGTAATGCCTAATACTTCCTCCGTTTCCTTTTAGTTGTATCACTTTAAAATTGCGTACTCTTAGACAATTTTTTGAGATCAGAGAAATAGAGAGAAAGAAAAAAAGTAAACCCATGTAATAGGAGAGAGATATATAGAGAGAGTTTATTAGTAATTAAAAAGAAAAGTGATGTATCTAATTTACTTTTGTTTTTAGAAAATGATTCAACTAAAAAACCAAAGGAATTATGTTTTTCAAAAATCGCAAAAAAGCAAATGGTGAACACATAAAAATGAAAGGGAGTAATTTATTTATTATGCCTTTTGAATGACATTATAATACCAACCAAAGCACACGTTCTAAAGAGTGTATAACAGAAGAAAAAATCAAACAGTATAATACTCAATTTCATTATCGTTTAAAGTATAATCAACAAAAAAAAAATGCAAAATAATTTGTAAAGTAAGCATACATACCTTTTGGCAAGGATGAGGAGGTTCTAAGTTGACAAAATCATGATCAAGTTGCCTCTTAAACCTATTTTGATAAGCCTGTTTAATCATAAGAATATGGCTTGATTTCCTACCAACAAAAATTTCAACCAAAGCCTTAAAATCAGTCTCATTTTCTTCAAGTGCATTCTTAGCAAAACAAGCATCTCTTTCCCAAGGATCAACCATCCATAACAACAAGGCCTCACATGTCGCAACCGAGAATTTAGTCTCCTCATTGCTTGATTTACCACTCAACATAATCTTAACCCTTTGCAAATGACTCAATAAATCTTCATTATACATTGCTTTGTAAGTCTCCCTTATTTCCCTCCTCTCGGCTTGTGTTGATTGTGTCGCGATTGTTTGTACCATGGTGCTTAGCCTTCCCCATGACTCGTAGATCGCCTTACAATCACTCTCATAGCATGAGCTTTGGTTCTTTGAGTAGTTTAGGTTAGCCATTTCCTTAAACTAAACTTATTACAATAATATGTTAAACTTTTGTAAGGGTTGTTTGGCTATATAATTTGCATTTATGTGAGTGTGTGTATATGTACTTGGGGTGCAAGGAAGGAATATGGCTTTTAAAAGAAAGTAGGATCCATTATAGAAGGGGGAAAGAATGATGGGTTATAATATGAAAAATTTGACTTGGCCTAAAAAATACAGGTGGACTAGAATTGGCTTCTAGTGAAAGTTTTGTGACTTTCCTAGTAGACTATGACTATGATGAGTATGTAATGAACGCTTTGTAGAAAGACTTGTTATTAGACTTTGTACATTTTTCAATTTCTTAATTGATTGTCCCTCTTCTGCTTTTCAGTTTGACTTGTTGACTCATCACATGCTTTTTATTCAATTCCTTACTTCAAACGTTTCCGAATACTTGCAACAACTTAACTTAGACACTACCATTTGTATATGAAGTATTAACTTTGACTTACACTAGATCCCGTTTATAAAAATTAATCAATTGTCATTGTGTTGTACTACGATATTGTTGAATCAGTATTAATGTATAATTTAAGATATATATTTTTTAATTGTTTATATTAATAATAATCGGCTAATAACTGCATATTTTATGGTCAAACTTGTGCATTGATGGCACATGTTTCAATCAAACTGTTGCCAGTATTAAAAAACAAATTGAGCATTAGATTAATCTCAAGTATGGCATATTTAAGGGAAATAGTATAATGGTCATCGGATATTTATTTGACTTACAATATAAAGTTTTGTTAGGAGGGTCATATTTAATTACACTTGTGATTGGGGCTGCATTTGGTAGGGATGACTGCGTGTTCGATCCCCCGCAACAATAATTGGAAGGGAACTGAAACCTAATCATCTAGAACTGAGCCCTGAATCCGGATTATGCTAAAGGGTGAGCCGGGTGACCAAAAAAAAAAAAATTACTAGTATTAATATGGAGTATGTAGGGGTGGATGGGGGAGGGGACTTGGTAGGGCACATGCCCTACCATTTTAGTTTTTTTTTTAGTTTGATTTTTTTTATTAAAAAAAATCAATAATCAATAATTTATATACTAAAGGCGAAATTAGGAATGACACTTGTCATTTCCTGGTTAAAAATTTTCCCGCCTTTTTTCCTTTCCTTTTTTTTTTCGCCAAATTATAATGACATCCATTTTTTAGCCTACAATAATACTTATTTTCATTTTCACAATTTATTTAATCTAATTATACTCAATTAATTTTTGTTTTTTACATATATTCTATGTATATACTAGAAAACTTTTAGTTACAAAAATACTAACATAACATAGATTTAAAATAAGGTATTCGAATATATTATTATCCAAGATTATTATAATTTTATCAATTTTTCTCCAACTTTTATCAATTAGACAATAAAATTTTATTTTAATTAAAAAAGAAAAATCATTTTGGTAGCATACTTTGTATAAATTTTATACATACCGCTTATAAGAACAACCGAACAAAATCATTTTTGCCTTTTTTCCTACTATTCACTAAAAATATATTTAAAAAAGTTAGTTACGGAATACTAATTATCGTAAAGGAAAATAAAATTAACTAACCTAAGCTAATATATTCATTTTCTTATATAAAATCTTATAGCTTCTAAATTTCTATTACTTCATTATTTTCATATACAATCCAATTGTTAAATATGGGTCTGGGCCATACCTGCAAATCAAGAAAGAGAGTCCACTTCACAAGACCAAAGGAGATTCCATCCCAAAACCATATGGTAATAGGAAGAGTAGCCCCTTAATCTTATAACTCTCTCTTCTTTCTCAATGTGAGACACTTACATGTGTTATTTGGTAGGATATACTTCAACACCAATTCAATAACCTTTACGTATTTGGTATTGGTATAAATTAAAATTCAAGTTATTTTCTTACAAGTTTTTTTTTTTTTTTTTTTTGATAAATTATTGAATTAACACCATTATTTATAATTTATTTGTTGTAAACTTTAATCATATCGTGCATGACACGAGACTTAACCTAGTAAAAATAAATAAGCAAACCTTACAAGATCAAGATCTATATGCAATTAATACTCTAATTTGCTAGCGGGTTTAGTATTTTCAATCGTAACTCATATACAAATATACTTGATACTTTAGATGCATGCGTGGATAAGTATTGTGAATTTGAATTGTGATTAGTCTTATGCCTAATATTTTACTTTAGATTGTCCGTTTTGCACTTTTCAATTGCTAATACTACATAATCTTTAATCATGCTAGTAGTGGGCGACCATGATTATAACAATATAAACTGATAATAATGATAATGTTGAGGACTAAATTTCCCCTCATATTGAAATGTTACTAGTCAAATTTGTTCTCACTTCTAATTCTTTTTAGAAAATTTTATCAACAACTACCATTTAAATGACTATTTTTGAGAACAACTACCTATTAAATTTATTTTTTGAAAAAACTACCACAAAAATACAAAAAGCTTAAGTAGCACTACCATGCTTACTTTTCCGACAATAATCTCCGGTTAAGGAGACCCAATTTATTAAATTTCTGTCCAAAAAACCCATATGAACTAACAAAATTGTTTCTACATTAACCCTAAATTGGGTAGTACAACTCAATTGCACCAAATCCCCCAATTTTGTAAAACCCTAAATTTTATATTTTGACATAAACCCTAATTTTAATATTCAATTGAGAAATTAAATCATCTATAATGCGAAATTAAATAAAATTTACCTATAATTGTGCTCGTGCACGAATTCCATTGTTATCTCTATCGCAATTGATTGAAATTGTATAAAGTAAACTCCATCAACCGGAAATTCTGGCCGGAAAACCTAAAGTGGTAGTACTACTTAAACTTTTTGTGTTTTTGTGGTAATTTTTTTCAAAAAAAAAAAAAAGCAATAAGTAGTTGTTCTCAAAAGTGGTTATTTAAATGGTAGTTGTTAACAAAATTTCCTTCTTTTTAGTAGTGGTTAATTAAGTGGTTAAAATTTTGCTTGATAATTAAATTTTTTCAATGATATTTCTTTTATAACGGTAATCTATGTTAATTGGCTATTCCATTTTTTAATTATTATTGATTGTGATTATATTATATTATACTATATTATAATATATAGCTCTTGATTAGTATTAATCAGTTGTGCCCTACCAACATTAAAATCCTAGCTCTGCCATTGAGAGTATGTAATGTAACTTTTTAATGAAAGTTATGCATTGATATGTATGTATGTAAGTTAAGCCGTTGCAATAAATTGAAATGAAGTGAATATAAAATGACAAAACATTTTTATCAAAAAAAAGAAGGTAAGAAGCATTTTTTTATTTTTTTAATTCTCCCTCCGTTCCTTTTTCTAAAGTTATGTGTGTTTGGGGTTATACACGAGTATTAAGAAAAAAAGCTTTGGGACTTGAGAGTAGGTAAAATGAAAATATTTACTGAGTACTTCGTAGTAGGTAAATTTTTTGGTACAAAGGAATAATTGCTTTGGGATGGAGTAGGTTAATATATATTTTGGTAAATGTACGAATTGTTGCTTTGAGATCGCAAATTATGTAAATATTTTGGTAAAATGATTAGTAAGGTCGTGTTGTTCTCTTCACCTCAAAAAATATTATATTCAGTAAAAATAATTTCAGTCAAGTATAAATAATATCAATTCAATAAAAATAAGTTCAGTATAGTAAAAATAATTTCAGTCAAGTAAAAAAAAATTTAATTACTAACTTTAAAGAAGAAATGTAATAGAGAATCAGTATAATAAGTTTTAATCAGTAAAAATAATTTCAGTTTAGTAAAATTACTTTTAGTTCAACAAAAATAGTTTCAGTTCAATAAAAATAATATCAGTTCAGCAAAAATAAGAGAAAAAGACAGGGCCAAATGGGTAAGTCGTTAATCCCTACAACTTAAGCGTGTAAATATATTACTTTGTCCTTAAAAATATATTACTCTATATAGATACTCCATTCGTTTCATAATAATCGCAACACTAGGTGTAGCACAAAGTTTTAGAAGAATTATAGGGTGGGGACCAAAATTTGAATTTTATTTTATAATATAAATTAGAGTTAGTGGGGGATATATTTAATGGTTATTAGGAGATCTAGACAGAAATAATAAAATAGTAGTGTGTGGGGTTTGTAAAAGAGAGAAATAATAAAATAGTAGTGGTCCTTACCAAATTAAAAAGTGTTACAATTATTATAAAACGGATGTAAAAGAAAAATGTTGCGATTATTACGAAACAGAAGGAATATGTAATAAGAGGAAGCCCAGGTTCCCCACTTTTATAAACTTAATATGTTTATGAAATGACAATTCCATAATTATTCCGTATTGAATCTCGTGCTAGGTAATTAAAAAATATTATCAATCCCTTTCATTTCCGTGTCCAAAACAGACCATTAACTGACAGAGTCACTCCATCTTCTCCCTCAAAACAAAAGAGATAGAAAAAAGAAATTAAGAAGACCCACCTTCTCCCTTTAACAATGGAGGAAGGTCGTCGGAAGACGACGATGAAGTCCATTGCCCACAAAGACCAGTGAGAATGGACAGCCATTTTAATCATTATTTTTTCCTCCCTATATTATGTATCTCCTCCATTAAAGTTACTTGAGAGCCACCATTTCTACCACCATATATACGGCGGCTTCGTCACGAATTAAAAGAAAACCCTGAGATAATAGGGAAAAATAAAGGGAATGGTTAACTAAAATTCTACAATGTCATTCTTTAAAAATGACACCACAATTTGCTAATGTGGCGAAATCTGATTGGCTTGTATTTAGTATTTTTGTTTTCATTTTGAATTATATTTAATGTCCATAATGTATTAAAATTGTATTTTTTTATGTTTTCTTTTTAATACATGTATTTTTTTTAAGATATACATAGTCATAAATTATGAAAATCTATTTTTACTATAATATTAATCAATTTTCAAATTTATAATTATAATTAAAAATCAAAAAATAAAAATTGTTCATTATTGTTCATCATTGTTCATCAATCATGTCATAGATTAGCCCCCCAATCCCCAAAATCAATTTTAGTTGTTGATAAATTCGTCCGGACTAAAATCGGGATAAAAATTCGAAATCAAATTGTGTTTTTGCATTTTTTTTTTTCCAGTTTTTGATTTTAGGTTTTTCTTTATAAAAAAAATCTCAACAACAATCTCATTTATAAGTATTTGCAAAGGACGAATTCTGCTTTGCATGGTTCGAAAATATGGTTTATGTGGACTATTGTATAATTTTGTCAAAGAACAAGGAGA